CACACACACACACACACACACACACACACACACACACACACACACACGTGTGTGTCTCAGCGAAAATGTAAGTTTTCATAAATGGAATTTAACATGCAATAAATCTTTACCTTTGCCTAACTTTCTTTATATATTTATTTTTCTCAAATAAAGCAGTTTTTAAATAAAACAACGTCGAGAGTCCATGTTAACCAGTTTTTAAATGTAAAGACCTTTTATGAGGTGACAGTATGGTGTTAGCCCTCGTGCTAAGACTAGCTAACTTGACGCTAATTATAAGCAGAAATATATCAGTGGTTGAAAAACATAAATTTCTGCTCGAATGTGTTCTGGAAACAGAAAATAGTTAAGAAAAGTTCAACAACAATAACAGTAATCTTACGTTCTCCAAGTTTCTCGAGAAGAAAGTCTTTTTTGCGGTCCTCGTGGCGCCACTCCTCCAGCTTTGCTAGCCACTGTCACGTGTCAAACTGACAAAACTGAGGAGAGAGACATGGCAGCAGGGTTGCCAGTTCTGCTGTTTACCCACGCCACCGGACCACATTGGAGAGAAAGTGAACGTACAAATGTTTTAACACCTTTTTTCCTGAAACGTTCTGGTCTCTGCTTCTCCTGTTGATTTTTTAGATGGCCGTAATATGAGAACTATCAATTCACAACAGCAAACTTTCTTGTAAAAACCATTCATATCCCCCCTTTACTCACAGATAACATTGGTTCTGTCTAGATAAAGCAGTAATATACTATAATATATCAAGAGGTTACTGAACCACCTGATGTCTAAAAAAACTCCGGTGGGCAGAAAGCCAGGAGAAGAATTTTAATACTATAGAAATATTTAGAAAATGTGTCCCTTGAAACAAGGCAAAATGGAATTATCTTTGGATTAGAGTTTGTAATGTGATTTATGTGAACAGGAATTCACTTATTTTTATACACAGAGCAGTAGCTAGTCTAGTAGTCCAATCTAATCCAGACAGATTTGGTTTTTAGAGCCATCTGCTGGACAAACAACTTACTTCAGACATTGGATATGTTTTGTCAATTCCCTCAATTTACAACAGTTTTAAATCCTTTCCACAACAAAGCACAGTTAATCAACTTTGTTGGTTTAAGCAATAATGACAGGTTACATGGCTCAATATTTCTGACAGTGATGTCAAAACACTTCTAAGAACATGATTCAGAGAGAGGTATCCGACTTTAACACCTTTCAAACATGAAAACTTCCTATCAGACAAAACTTCGACCAGTATTAGGGGTTTTCTGATATTCCATGATAGTGGCAAAGACAGAGACTGGTAGAGGGTTGTAAATGTTGAAGCAACTCAGACCAAATTAAATAAATTCCTTTCAATACAAAGTCAAATTAGTGGTAGATTTACTGATTAAGGGGGGAAAGCCCTCAAGAACACTGGCAGAACTTTTATCAAAGTAGTCACAAAAGAAAACTTATTCCGCTTCTACCACATGAGTTAATGGAAGTTCGTAAAATGACAAGTACTGATGCACAAATCACAAACATTTACTAATTGACTTTAATTGGCAAATCAAATGAAAAGCCAAATGAATGGAGCAAACCTATTCTTCGAAAACAAAACAGCATGGACATACTCTTGTAGAAGGAATTGTCGATTTATTAAGAAATACGTCAACTATTTGTCAAATATCACAATTCCCGGCTTTTTTTTTCACGAAGCATCCGTGGTGTAAGAAGAGTCCGGCTCCTGTTTGCATTCTGATCCATACCGGCGGATCTTGAAGCTACCGCGCAAAGCATTGTGGGATATTAGCTTCTGGCGAAGTCAACATGGCTGCAAATCTCAGGCGGACGATAGAGGCTGCAGTAAGAAGGCCTTGAATGAAGTTTGGCAGAGATCGAGCGCTGTCGTGCCCAAACTAGTCTCGAACAGTCGTGCTTTTTAAAACCACACACAGCCCGCAGAAGGATAAGAACACTCACAAACAGCAACAGATAACAAAACAACTGAGGATAAAGTCTCGTATGAATTCCGACGAGAAGGAGGACTGTGAGTGTGCGACACCACAGGCCGAGACTAGCCCCGCGAGAGGACCTGATAGGTGGGGACGCCATCAGGAAAGAGCCGGGGATGCCGGGGCTGTTAGGAGGGAGACGCAGAGGGGAAGCTCACTTGCTAGCTAGCTAGCTGTGGCTAATGGCTTTGTGAATACTGACGTTGTCCAGCTTTAAATCGCTGTTTTATGGAAAGTTCTCACTAAGCACTGTTTTAATACAAATTTAGTCCATATGTGACTTTTCCATTGCAACGTACCACTTCTGTGTGAAGAAAAATGCTGAAATGTGTCTAGTAAGGCTAGTTTGCTGTATTAGCCTGATAAGTCACGGTCAGATTGTCTTGGTTCGTGACATTTCTTTTGCCTGTTCAGCCTCATATACCCTCTTAAATGGAAGTTTAATGGGTAGATATGGACATATGCATATTAACAAAGGATACATCTTTAACATGAGCTAGTTGTTGTGACCCAAGGTAGCCTACAGCTAAGCTGGTGGCTACTCTCAGCTGCAAGTGACCTACTGGTGTTGCTTCTTACAAGGTTGTCATTTTCTTATCTTCTTCTTATCGGGATAAAGTTATAGATAGAATATTCTCGCTGATATCCCAATGCATTATATTTAAGGTCGTTTGGGGTTGCTGAAATTATGCTAGTGCAGCATGTCTTGACCCCTGTTGTACTTCTTTTCATTGTTTGTTGTGCTTACAGAGAATACGAGGAGCCTGACCTAGAAAACCCAGAAGCAAGCCGAATGTAAGCATAACTGCTTTTTATTTGTACATTTATGTTTCTATAAATTCATATTTAAAGTCTCAAGACTCTCGAAAGCCAACTTTAACATCAACATTTTAAGATATGTGTATTTTGTGGTTTAGCTCTTTAAAACCAATCGAGAAACTGTATGAGCATCGTTATAACTGTTTTTTCTCTCCGAATTGCAGGAAGCGAGCGGCTGCTAAACATCTAATAGAGCGCTATTACCACCAGTTAACGGAGGGCTGTGGGAATGAGTCTTGCTCCAACTCGTGGTGTGCCTCGTCGGAGGGATTCAGCCGCATGGATAACAACGCAGCAGCGGTCAAGGCTCTAGAGCTCTACAAGGTTAACGCCAAACTATGTGACCCGCACCCCTCGAAGAAAGTCACGGCTTCCACCTACCTGGACAGCAGCACTCGCAGCAACTCGGTCTGCACCAATAGGAAGATGAACCACAAAGACGTCAACGCTGTACGAGACAATTTCAAAGGTGAGCTCACGGGCAGACGTTTGCCGATGGATGGGGTACAAATTAGCTTATTCACGTGGTTTCTTTGAAGACGGGGATGTATTTTATAATGAAATATGTTTGTGTGTAGATGTCAACTACCTGACAGAGGAGAAAGTCTATGAGATCTTGGACATCTGTGGAGAGAAAGAGGACTACTCCCCGCTGATCCGAGTAATAGGTCGGGTCTTCTCCAGCGCCGAGGGCCTGGTGCAGAGCTTCAGGAGGTCCAAGCCCCACACCAAGGAAGAGCTGAAGTCCCTCCAGGGTAAAGACGAGGACAAGGACGAGGACGAGAAGGAGGCGGCCGCGTCCTCGGCCACGGCCATGGAGGAAGACTCCCCGACCTCCTCGTCCTTCTCCAGGCTCGGCGAGGGCTCCTCCGGGGAGAACGACGTCCAAAAACTGGCCCCGGACGAGGTGTCGGTGGACATCGAAGCCGTGCGCCGGGTCTACGAGCGCCTCCTGTCCAACGAGAAGATAGAGGCGGCCTTTTTGAACGCGTTGGTCTACCTCTCGCCGAACGTCGAGTGCGACCTGACTTACCACAACGTGTACTCGAGGGACCAGAACTATCTGAACCTGTTTGTCATAGTGATGGAAAACAGCAACCTTCACAGCCCCGAGTACCTGGAGATCGCCTTGCCGCAGTTTTGCAAGGCCATGAGCAAGCTGCCCCTGCCGGCCCAGGCCAAGCTGGCCCGCCTGTGGGCGCACTACAGCGCCGAGCAGATCCGGCGGATGATGGAGACCTTCCAGCAGCTGATCACCTACAAGGTGATCAGCAACGAGTTCAGCAGCCGGAACCTGGTCAACGACGACGACGCGGTGGTGGCCTCCACCAAGTGCTTGAAGATCGTCTACTACGCCAACGTGCTGGGCGGCGACCTGGACACGGAGCACAACGAGGATGAGGACGACGAGCCCATCCCGGAGTCCAGCGAGCTGACCCTGCAGGAGCTTCTGGGTGAGGAGCGCCGCAACAAGAAGGGCCCGCGCGTGGACCCGCTGGAGACGGAGCTGGGCATCCGCACCAACGACTGCCGGCGGCCGCTGGTCCCCTTCGAGGAGTTCGTCAACGAGCCCCTGAACGAGGTGCTGGAGATGGACAAGGACTACACCTTCTTCAAGGTGGAGACGGAGAACAAGTTCTCCTTCATGACCTGCCCCTTCGTCCTGAATGCCGTCACCAAGAACCTGGGCCTGTACTACGACAACCGCATCCGCATGTACAGCGAGCGGCGCATCACCGTGCTGTACAGCCTGGTGCAGGGCCAGCAGCTCAACCCGTACCTGCGGCTGAAGGTGCGGCGGGACCACATCATCGACGACGCCCTGGTCCGGGTGAGTCTGGGCCGCCCGCTTTTTTCTACGCGTTTGGGGGATTGGGCTGCCCGGTATGATTTCTCCCTCTTCTCTCTCTTTGTCGTCTCTCCTATCAGCTGGAGATGATCGCCATGGAAAACCCGGCGGACCTGAAGAAGCAACTCTACGTGGAGTTCGAGGGGGAGCAAGGCGTGGACGAGGGAGGCGTGTCCAAAGAGTTCTTCCAGCTCGTCGTCGAGGAGATCTTCAACCCCGATATCGGTAGGACGGCTCGACGAATGGGGTTCAAGCCTCTCGAGTCCTTGTTTTGGAACAGTTTCTTCAGGATTTGGTTTAAATGCTTTTATTCAAATGCTTTTATGGTTGCATACATTTTCAAAATTCACATCTAAACAGAATAAACATAACATGAAATAGCAGTAATAATAGTTTTTCTCTAATATGATGTATTCTTAGGGCAGGTTGGTCTAGTTTTTGGTGTGTAAAAAGACTCACCAGTTTAGAAGAATAGTTTAGAATAGTTAAAAAATAAGGAGCAAATATCAATGTCAGATTGGAAAATTGTCTGAGGAAACAGAGTGATGGTGATTGGTGGATTTGGCTTCTCAGAGTTGAACAAAGTCTCTTAATGACCGATAATCAGAAAAAGCCAACGAGGGAAACCGGTCCATGGGCTGAGCTGCATTTTCCGTTTGTGTCTGCTATTTAAACGGTTTCCTTTGGGTGACCTGAAATCTGTGAACGGTTCTATAATGCACGATCTTTGGGGAACCACTCCACACTTTCTGTGGAAGTACATTGTTTTGAGGCTGGCGCTGTCAACTGTCAGGTGTTTGTAGGGAAATGTGGAATGCTCATGTGGATTAAAGAGAGAAACACAACCACAACGGGGGAAGTTAAAGCATGTATATACAGTATATAGTAATACATTTAGAATTATTCATCCTAGATGGTGGTGAACACACTGTGGTTTTCTCACTGCGCGGACTCGGGGGTTTGCATATTGTCCATTATGCTCATCGGCTTGTGCCGCATCTTCCTTTGCATAGTCAGCTTCGGGTGTCTCCAGAGCAAGTCCCCCAGCTAAGAGGCAGCAGCAGACAGCCGCAAAGCAGCTAGCACTCCCCCCCTGCCCCTAACACGGAGTAAAGACGATTTTTCGACGTCTTTTTCTCCTTTTTTCCTCTTTTTTTTTGCTCCTGTAATTAACCAGGAAGTCACATTAAGATTAAAAAAGGTAGCATCCTTTTAAAAGCAAAACTCGATAACCACATTGGAAGGAAGCACCAATCATTTACTACAGTTTATTAAAGCTCGAGGAGCCACTTTGGATGCTTCGGATGCTAACAGATGGTAAATTAGAGGGGGACGAACATGTCCGACTGTTCCACAGACATCTAAAATGCACTGAGCGGAAGATCATGCCTTTTAAAAGTCAATTCAAAGAGCTTAGAGGTGCGTAGGGGCGCTTCAGAGTAGATTAGGCTGCATGTTTTTCATGTATTTCGTCGTGATAAATTATAGAAAGGTTATTTTTTCTTGTTTTTGTTTTTTTGCAGAGAATCTTAGACATCACTTTAATGTCTCAGGGTTGCTTCAGTGGATTGGCAGACACTGTCTTTGCTTTTTGATTCCCCTTGCAGTTTCTGCTCGGCCGAATTCCTTAAATAACGAGAGGCGAAATGTTATTTATAATCATAGCAACACATATAAACACACAAAGATATCAGCTGAGTCAGCCTTCTCGCAAGGCCTAGTTTTTTTGCACTCTCATTCTTGTCAAACTGTTTGATATATCTTTAAAAAAACAAAAAAAGGGTTAGGGGTTTGCTTAAATCTGTGGAAGTTGTTGGCGATGCGTTCACTGCCTCAACAAGAATGCACTCGTTGTCTTAGTTACTCCACTCAAGCTGGGGGGGGTTTGGAAAGCGTGAGCCTCGATCCTTTTCTGTGTTCAAACTGGACTTTGGGGCTTCGATTCGAATGTTCCAGATTCATCCCTGTCCTTCGCTCCCCTCCCCCCCTCAGGCATGTTCACGTACGACGAGCGCACCAAGCTGTTCTGGTTCAACCCGTCGTCGTTCGAGAACGACGGCCAGTACACGCTCATCGGCATCGTCCTGGGCCTGGCCATCTACAACAACTGCATCCTGGACGTGCACTTCCCCATGGTGGTGTACCGGAAGCTGATGGGCAAGAAAGGAACGTTCCGGGACCTGGCCGACGCCAACCCGGTAAGCGTGCCGGTTTCTCCCCCAAAAAAACAAAAAACGTCGGGTTTCCCCGAACTGGAAGACGATTCCCATCTTTTTTTTTTCTCAAAGGTTTTGCACCAGAGTCTGAAGGAGCTGCTGGAGTACGAAGGCAGCGTGGAGGAGGACATGATGATCACCTTCCAGATTTCCCAGACGGACCTGTTCGGCAACCCGCTCATGTACGACTTAAGGGAAAACGGGGACAAGATTCCAGTCACGAACGAGAACCGAAAGGTGAGCCCGACGGAACCAGTGCCGTGATCATGCTCAGATTTTAATTTAAAAGGTGCTTACAAACTCATCCAGGGCAAAATCTCTTTAGATCTGATCCTAAAATCTAAGCCCTGATTTATCTGCAAGAGCAATCGATTATTCAAATGATTTTTCGAGTAACCCCGATCGGTTCAAGCCTCTGTTTTTCCTTTTCTTTGAAGATCTTGTGATCGAAATGCAACAGAGCTGCATTACTCACACAAAACATATCAGATTTTTTCATTTTTACAAGGCTAGATGAGCTCTTAATAAATTAAAAAAAGAAGCCGCATGTTGAAAATAAACATAAACTATTTAGCACGGTTTTCAGACACAGCTGGGTTTTTTTTTTAATTGATACATTCTAGTAAAGATTTGCAGAGCAAGGGAAGGAAATGGTTTAAAATAAGAGGATTAAACAGAAATCTTATATTGATAGTTCCCAGTAAAACTAGAAAAGAAATAACACAGAATCGAATGTATCGACATGCATGTTGTACAAAACATGCTCTACAAAAAAAACAAGGGGGGGGGGGGATAGTTGAGCTGCACTGAGTGTAAACAAGAGTAACCCCCCCCCCCATTTTTACAATGAATGTCTGCATAATAATTCAATATTTTAGAATACAGGATATGTGGATTTCTTGTGTTCGCCATAATATGAAAGGATGAAGGTCCTAAAAAATATTCTGCTCTTGCGCTTTTCCAGGAGTTTGTCGCACAATATTCAGATTACATTTTGAACAAAAGCGTGGAGAAACAGTTCAAAGCGTTCAGGAGAGGCTTCCACATGGTCACCAACGAGTCACCACTAAAATACCTGTTCCGGCCGGAGGAGATCGAGCTCCTCATCTGCGGCAGCCGGGTGAGGCCTGTTCAGCCTTCGGACGTTTCAACACTGATACAACACTTATATCGAAAGTCCACTCATTCTCGTCCGCTTTTGTTTCAGAACCTGGATTTCCTCGCACTGGAGGAGACGACGGAATACGACGGCGGTTATAACAGAGATTCTCGAATCATAAAGTAAGAAACTGTGTTTTTTTTTTTTTTTCTTTGTTTTTATCGGTGTTGTGTCACCAAAAACTCCATCCTATTTTGATACCTGACCAGCAGACACGTCTTTATTTCTTACTTTAGAGGTTTTACAACAGTAACCAATAAGGATTTACGCTTTATGTGTCTGTGAACTGGGAAAAAAAAAAAAAAAGAAGAGGTTTATGTGTATGTAAATGATGGCTAATCCAGCGGGGTTTTTTTTTTTCTCCTCCGTCTCTACCCGCAGGGAGTTTTGGGAAACGTTGCACTCGTTCGGTGAGGAACAGAAGCGCCTCTTCCTCCAGTTCACCACCGGCACCGACAGAGCCCCCGTGGGGGGGCTGGGCAAGCTGAAGATGATCATAGCCAAGAACGGCCCCGACACGGACAGGTGAGCGGGGGTTCTCGTCGTTTGAAACGCTTTTAAAATCGGCCCCTAACTCGCACTGCGTGGCCTTTTTACGAAAATATCATTTATTTTTCCAGATGTTGATTGTGTTCCGTAGAAAATGGCCTCAAAAATATGGGATTTGTTAGCCCTTTAAAGCCTGATCCACGAAAAACAGGAAGAATATTCCTGATTAAAAATCCCTAACTTTGGGGGACGGAGCCCAACATTAATTGTGAAATAGTCCATCTATAAAATAGAAGAATCGCTTTTTTGTTTTGACATCTTTTAAAAAAATTCAAGACAGTTGATGTAAATTATTTTCTTTAGAACTAACACTCAGGTTCTAGTTTGTTTTTTTGGGGTGTTTTTTTGGCATAATTTATTTCTTTACTATGTAGCTATTTCATGCTTTGACACTGTAGAGTACAAAATGGCAATAATTAAATAAATCTGCTGTTTATGGCAAATATTTAAACAATCTTAATTGAGAGTGAAAACAAAACAGACATTTTATTCTGTGTTACTGGTAAGTGTGGTTTATTTTCCCATCAGCTGTAGACTGTTCGCACAAAGTTGGGTTTTTTTTTTTTTAGTCTGAAGTCTTTATTTGGCCCCTCAACAACATATGAAGAAAAAAAACTAAAGTTATCGTGATCAAATTAGCGTGGAATAAGTCAAAAATATATTTTAGTGTCGTCTTCTACTGGTTATCAGGTATATCTGAATGTGTACAACAGGGGTTTGAGCTAAGATTTTACCATTGAATGATGCAAAAAGTCTCAGATCCAAAAGACTTCAGAAACCGTATGGATCAAATATGATGCATTTGGCATTATAGGGTTTTAAACCGTGTCTGTGCTTTTTTTTTAATGTATTTATTTTTTGCATCGGCAGGTTACCCACATCTCACACTTGCTTTAACGTGCTGCTTCTTCCCGAGTACGGCAGCAAGGAAAAGCTGAGAGAGAGACTGCTGAAAGCCATCACCTACGCCAAAGGGTTTGGCATGCTCTGAGCCCCAGTCCCCCCCCCCACCCCAACCCCCCAAACCCCCCCCACCCCCCCAAACCCCCCCGGCCCGCCCCGCTACTAACGGACTCCTTCTCAGAAAGCCCATCAAACCCTCTCTCCTTTATAAGACACAATCTACAATGGGGGGGGACAAAAGACAGACCCAGGGAATGCTTTGCCAGAAAAAAAATAAAAAAGAAGACAAAAAAAAAAAAAAGATCAACAACGAAAGGAAAAGGACGACCCGGTTCGTATTGAGCGTTCTAGTAGTTTTGCTACTGTGCCTGCATCATCCTCCCATCGGTCAGAGACCTTCCGGAAGTATCCGCTTCAGGGGAGTGAGTCACAGCCCCCCCCCCCCTTCTGTTTCCCATGTACAGAGAGGATCATTTTCCTTATTATTTATTTTAAGGTTTAAAAAAAAAGAAGAAAAAAAAAGGTTATTTTCATGCCTGTCTGTCGTAATGGATTCTCCCACTACAGGAAATGGAGGAGGGGGTGTGTGTGTGTGTGTGGGGGGTAACCAGTATGAATTTGGGACAGTGTCAAGTCAATATAAACAGTTATTTACAAAATAATATCAGATCATTGAAATGTTTTAGATGACTCCCCACCTAGGAAAGAGCTTTATTTAGAATTCCACTCAACACGATTGTTGTTGTTTTTTTTCTTGTTTTTTTTTTCTATCCACAAAGGCATTTTTTAAAAGAAATCAAAGTAAGCATTTGGAAATGACTGACCTCTGGTCCAAAATGGCACATTATCAAATTAGCTGCTTTCTCATTTTATGTTCTTGGGCTTTCTCCTGTTTTTTTTCTTTTTCTGTTGAGTTTTTTTCTTTTTTTTTTTTTTGTCTGTTTTTTTTGTGGGGCGGGGTGGGAGGCTGGGCAGGATAGGTTAAAAAATTGTTGTCAGAACTGTGTAAAGTGCACTTAGACATTTTCAGAATGTTCGTTTTGTTTTGTTTTTGTTTGTTTTTCAGCCACAGATTGCCATGATTGTTTTTCCAAGCAGTCCATTTCCTCGTCTTCCTCTGTTAACAATTCCAAATAAATCAACACAAAGAGCGGTGTTCATATATATATAAATATCGGAACCTAGAACCATCATACTGTCAAACAAACAACGTTAACCACACACACGTGGGCTTGGCCACTTTTGAGTTTTTCCTCGTGCCAACGATACACACTCTTTAAGATTGCACTCTGGACTTCAATCGCAAACGGATGTTCTCATCGCTACTTTCTAGTTTTTGAGTTGGTCGGACCTTCGTCATTTTACTACCTTACCAACAACCGAAGTATGCTTTGAATGTAAATTGTCATTTTGTGTGCATACAGATCTGGCAGGAACAATAAAACTCCTTTTCCTGTTTTTTATTTATTTTATTTTTTAATATAAAAACTGTCACATTGTATCATCAACATTCTGCCCCTTCACTCCAAACAGCATTTTTTTTTTTTTTTTTTTTGTCTTTTTTCGGGAAGTTAGCCGGACATTTCATGACCGTGTGTGCTTTGTACTGAGTTCCCTGATAACACTGGTGGCCTCTGATTGCTTGAGAAGGAGGATGAACTGTATGGACAGATGACTGTGATCATATTTAGGTCCTGGATCACTCGCATTCAATAAACATGAAAGCAAAATTCCTGTCTTTGAGGGTGAACCGAAAAAAAATCCCTACCTTTGGGGACGGAGCCCAACATTAATTGTGAAATAGTCCACCTACAAAATAGAAGAATCCTTTTTTTGTTTTGACATCTTTTCAAAAAAATTCAGACAGTTGATGTAAATTCTTTTCTTTAGAACTAACACTCAGGTTCTAGTTTGTTTTTTTTGTTTGTTTTTTGGCATAATTTATTTCTTTACTATGTAGCTATTTCATACTTTGACACTGTAGAGTACAAAATGGCAAGAATGAAATAAATCTGCTGTTTATGGCAAATATTTAAACCATCTTAATTGAGAGTGAAACCAAAAAAGACATTTTATTCTGTGTTACTGGTAAGTGTGGTTTATTTTCCCATCAGCTGTAGACGGTTTGCACAAAGTTGAGTCTCAATTTACAGAAAACTCTTGATTGTTTTGATGGTTATTAACAGTTAATAAATTCCAAAATCATAGACATCATAGAATAATACAAATGCTGACATCGTGAAAGACCGGTCGACTTTTTAAAAACTTGCCTATCTTAAATTTTGATCACTTCAAACTTCAAATTAGGAAATTTATGGGTAAATTGTTGACAAACTGTACAACGTAAGATTCAGGATCTGAATTTTTCTTTTCTTTTTTCTGTGTACTTTTTGGCATTTATTTAGACATACTTCAACCCATTTAAACAAATAGGGTATCAAATCGTTCAACTATTTTTTGACATTCTGTGAAGAGTCTTAAACTCTCTTGAAACTTTTTGAATTATTCAACTTTTTCTGACTTTTTCCTGTCATTGAAAATTAATGGCAGTTTTCAAATCCTTCAAAAAGCTTGGATCTCCTTCAGCTCTAACCACTTCATCTTAATTTCAGCGATAAACACCATTAAACTTTTAAATGCGTTTCAAGGCATTGGGCTATTGCCAAATGTCTTCTCGCTTCAAAATAAACATCAGTTTTTTAAATATAACAATTTAAAAATCATTCAAATTTTAGCTCCTTCAAATTTTTGCAATGTATTTCCTAAAGAGGCCTGTTAGAGTGGGTGATCAAAGAGGTCCAGTTCCTTTTTCACATTATCTCCACTCCACATCCTTTAACTTCCATATTCAAATTATACCTTAAAACGTAGGAAGATGTAACTGTCGAAGCACTTTAGCTTTAAACATTTGAGCTGTGACTTTCAGAGTCAGAAGTACCCTTCAAGGTTTAGCTTGAAAATCTAACTGAAAAATTGAACAGGCCAAAAATGTTTCATAATTTGAAAAGACTCCGGTGGGCACGTTTCTGTCTCAATTTAAAAATGAAAAACACCGTTGTGTTCCTCAATTTCTCCAGGTGCTCACAGTATCAACATGGTTTTCATGGCTCTAGTAGTTTTGGCTCAGGAGGTCAGAATGTAAAAGGAATGTAAAATGTAAAAGGAACTTTTGCCTGTTAAACTAGCATTGAGCAAGCATTTAGCAATGAGCTAGCATTTAGCATTGACTTCGGCTTGGCCGTCACCATGACAACTATTGAGTGCTCTGTTCTGTATGTCCTTCAGGCACACACACGCAGCCAGCATATATAAAACGTACAGTAGTAGACAGGAATAAACACTTTTAATGCAGCAAACAACCAACAACACACGCAAACGGTCAAGCTCTAGCGTCCAGCTCTCGGTTAAACCTCCATTTTAATCATCCGAGCTCCAGTTCTGTCCTTTGGATAGACCCCGTGACTCATCTTGAGCTTAACTCTGATCGTTTCCAACCTTTCTTCTGTCTGTGTTTTTGTCTTTTCGCACTTCACAGACAGAAGAATTCGACCATTCTTCTTTTTTGTGTTTTCTCTCGTTCAGTCTTAAGAACAGTGTTTGAAATGAAGCCTTTTACAAGGAAGCATTTCAGATGAATGACAAGGTGGTTCCAACAGATGCACACACAGGAACACGGGATATTTACAATTTGCGGCTTTTCCTGACCTTTGACCTTTGTCACGCTGTACTGTTTAGCATGATGTAAAACTTAATTAAACTTGGATTCAGATGTGAACCGGTTTTGTGAAATACAGTGTAAATTTAGCATCTTTAGATGTTTCCTATTCACTTCTTTCTTTAACCTTTGACCTTTCCAGAGTACTCCTCATCTCTGTGTTTCTTTTTCTGTTGAAGCTCTTCTCCAAATCGTTCTATAATTAGTTTTTCTCATCTTTCTAATTGGTCAGGGGGTCCCGGCTGTCATGACCCTCTCTTTTTCTGAACCGATACTCTCCAGCATGGAATTTTGAACTGAGGAGTCAAACTTTTTATCTTAGACTCAGTGCTTCATTGAAAGTATTCATACTTAATTAGAAATGATAATTTAGAACAAGCAGGGGCTTTTTAAAAAAGCTGGGCAGCTATTTCCCCACGTTTATGAATTTTTCATTCTTTAAATATTCAGCCGGGAAGTTATTCATTTAATAGAAAGTGATAAAGAGTGGATTTTGTAACAGTTTGTGGCTGCTCTGATCAAACATTTAGCATGTAAAGAACAGCTCACAGAAAATTTCCCCATGTTATCTAAACTTAGAGTCATCCCTGTCAATACCGTCCTCTGTGCATCTCTTTCTAAATCTTCAGATAAAGTAGTTTTCTGAAACAAACCACACTCTACAACAATGTTTATTAATGTTTTTTTACTTGTTTTTCATTTTATTATTGCAGTATACAAAATATACGGTAGCAATTGAGTCCTGACACACCTACAAGGTGAATGGCTACTTAAAGTTCAGATAATGCAGACATTAGAAAAATGCGTCTCTACTTTTGTGATGCTTTTGCCAGCTCTTGCTAGTTAAATGTAATGAAAAATCATTTATTAGGCCAAAATAATTATAATGATATATATATATATACATACTTTGACTAAATGTTTTTAAAAATCTGTTTAAAAATTGCACATGGTTGCTTATTCCATTGAATTGGATTAATATTTTCATCAACGTTTAGGCAATAAACTAAAAATAAAGTAATATTCTTTTTAAAAGGGTGTGTATTTTTTAACCACAAGGTGACGCAGAAGGTCACAGACACATGGTGTTAAATATTCATATTCAAGGGGGTTATCCATTTAGAAAGAGAGAAAATATTTTGACCATTTTCCAACTATATATATATATATATATATATATATAAATATATATATACAGTATATATAATATTGTCATCAACTATAATGATTGTAAAATGATTATGATATATATGATTGTTGACAATTATATCAACAATCATATATTTCTTCTTTTCTTTTATTACATATTTCTATAAACAGAAAAAAATGCAAATGATAAATTCATATGAGATGCTGCAAGTTTATCATTCATTGGTATTTGTTCTGTGATTCACATAAAATACGTCAGTTGCAACATCTTGTGGAGTAAACTAACACGTTAAAGAATAAAATTCTAATAATTTAAATGTCCAAATTGCTTCAATTTCAAAAAAGAAAAATCAACCAATAGGAACTTTGGTTTCATATCTGATTTCTGTGTTTTTTTAGATTGTTTAGCAAAATCAAGCTACTTTCTATGGAAGCAAATTAATGAAAAGTAATGCCAATCTTTCAAGGCCATATCATTGTATCATATATGGGGAAAATGAGAGTAGACATTGTTCAATTACTGGTCATCCTACTTTAAGGGTGTATAAACTTGTTTCTGTCTCAGAGAGAGGACAGGACCTCAGTGTGGCTGACACCAGGCAAGCTTTACATATCATCGACTCTGAGGGTCCTGACTTGATTCGACAAATTGCTGAGCCTCTGCTTGAGTTTACGCTGGGAAGACTCATACTGGTTCGTGAGCTTACGAAATTTGGTCATCATGACCTCCACATTAGCCTCAATCTGGTTCGCCTTGTCCTCTAAGTCTTTCGCATCAGTAGCAGCCACCAGCGACTCGTCTATGAGATTATCTTTCATGAGAATGGCTCTTCCCTTGTCCTCCAGAGCATATTTAGCATCGGGATACTCCGTGAGGGCCTCCATTAGATCGTCTTTGGAAAGGGCGAACAAATCCGAATAGCCAACGCTTCGGATATTAGCAGTTCTTCTGTTTCCTGCCTTACTACCCTTGATGCCCAGGATGCTGATTTCTCCAAAATACGCACCATCGCTCAGAACCACGAATTGGGTTACCCCGTCGTCTGCCACGACAGCGAGTTTACCTCCCTTTATGATATACATTTCCCTGCCAATGTCCCCCTTTTTACAGATGTAGTCTCCGGGACTGAAAACTTGAGGCTGAAGCTTCAGGACCAATTCGACAAGCAAACCGGCTTCGCAATCTTGAAAAATGCGCACTTTTCTGAGGGTCTCCAGATGTACATTAATGGCTATCTCAGCCTTTAGCTTGTCAGGTAAATTCTTCAGCACCAGTTTCTCATCACAGGTTTTCCCCTCCGTCCACAGGTAGTCAAACCACTTGACCACCCTCACCTCGAGATCTTTGGTGACCTTCCGAAATTGCATGTATTGCTTGATGGAGTCGATCTTGGCTTGGAACTCTACCCGCGCGGCGTTCATGTTGGAAATCATCGCACCCACATTGCCGACGATCGTAGCAAAGATCAGAACCCCAGTGAGAAAGTCAATCACCACAAAGAAGTACTCGATGTCTCTGACTGGAGGGGGGGTCTCCCCAATCGTGGTCAAGGTAAGCGTGGACCAGTAAAGGCAGTAGACGTACTGTCTGCTCAGTTGAGAATACGTCGGATGGGTCAGGGACGGATACACCCAAGTGTCTGAGCCAAAGCCAAGGACTTTGGAGATAGCGAAGTAGAGGCAGGCGTTCCAATGTATGATGATGATGATGTAAAGCACAAGGTTCCCAATGCGAAAGATGTTGGGGAAATTGGTTCGCGTTTCGGTCCTGTCAAAGAACTCAAACAATCGGGATAACTTAAGGAGACGATTGAACCTCCACTCAGGGTTGTTGATTCCAATTTGCAGAAACACAATGTCAGTGGGGAGCATAGACATGACGTCTAATTTGAACTGACGTGTCTTGATGTATCTCTCCCTCAGAATCTTTTCATCCTTCACAAGCAGTCCTTGTTCCAAAAAGCCTGTCGATACATTAGACTATGATTGGTACGGTAATACAGGATATAACAAGTCACTTCTTGATTATGTAGATTTGACGGGAAATGCAATCATTCACCTGTTCTGGCTCTCACAAAGGTGTCAACATAGTAGAGGACATCGGAGCTGTAGTCCAAAGCCATCCACAGGGTTGTGTATCTGGACTGAAGTTCATTAAAACATGCCCTACATGGACACAGAACCATGGTTAGGTAAGCTTAAACAAGACTAAGGTTTTAAAGTGAAATGTAGAACAAGTGATATTCAGACCTGCACACCAGAAGCATGAGGTTGTAGAACACTGGGATAGAAACTGTGCACAACCAGTTGTAGTACGTGTCAGTGGCAGGATCCATGATCCAAACTTCTTTTCTGCATAGAGACACATTTTTGTTTTTGTTTGTCATGCATAGTAAATATGTTAGAATTACAACTTTTTAAAAGTACTTTTTCAATTTCTAAATTTCCTATCCCACTGTAGAGTCCAATCTTGAGTAATCATCTTAGATTTATGTTATTGAAGCATTGTCATAGTTTAAGTCATCTTAGATATTCTAGATTTAGTGTATGAAAACATTTTTTAAATGGTCTTTGATCAAGGACTGGATCCTCAAATTATCTGAAGATACACATGCATACACAAATATTTAATTTTGTGTGATCACATGAACAAATTGTTAATATTTCTTAATTGTAATTCATATTCATTATAATATTGAGTGGGCATACGTTGTAATTTATTATATAATTAAGGATATACTGACTGAAAAAGGAGAGTACTACACTTAGCTAATTTGAGTCATACACTGTTACTTTTTCATCTTTCCCTCTATTCCAGTTGACTCTTTTTTCAAAATGTTCAAATATGAAAATGATGTGGTCCACTAAAACATCTGAAGATTAAGATCCCTTCTGGTCTGATCGCACAGATGTTACTACAGATGTGCCTGTTGAACATTGATTGATTGGAATCCAGAAATCTGCTCCTTTATATCTGTGACTTTTTCATATTTCTTATATTTTTTTTAACTGCTAAACTTCAGATTTGAAATCTAAGTGAAAAATTTGAGAGAACAAATACATAAACACAAACTGGGTGAAATTATTCAAACTTGTCTGGTAATGATGCACTTCAAAATGAGAATTAAATTGACCGATAAAGTGTCTTTACAAGAACTTTGATGTGGTTGTGATGCAGCCCATGAAAATTACACAGAATTAAAAATCTAAAATGAAAACAAGTGTAAAGAAATAGAGTGAAAATATTTACGGTTCTTCTTTCTTTTTGTCATCTTTCTTGTCATCTTTCTTGTCATCTTTCTTGTCATCTTTCTTCTCATCTTTCTTCTCATCCTTTTTGTCATCCTTCTTTTCATCCTTCTTTTCGTCCTTTTTATCATCCTTCTTCTCATCCTTCTTTTCATCCTTTTTATCATCCTTCTTTTCGTCCTTCTTTTCATCCTTTTTGTCATCCTTATTTTCCTCTTTCTTGTCATCTTTTCTGTAAATGCACATAAATAGAAATTAAGGTGCCGAATCACTACAAATGTTATCTCTACAGGTGCTTAAACTGTTGTCATTTTCTCACTAGAATTGTATGTGTATTATGGGCACTCTGAACAGCAACAAATTTATGTAAAAAGGAAAATAAGTGGTTGTTGTTTCAGTTCAGTAAGGTTAGATGGGTTTTGTTCTGGCCAAGAAAGTACAAATCTATCAATTTATCTGTTATACAGGATAAGAAAAAACAAAAAAACTCATTGAATTTGAAATGAATTCAATATCTGTGTCACACATATGTCAAGGTATTTAAAGTAGTGAACATTTTCCACTGAATAAAACATTTCCATGAAAGATTTATAAAGTTTTAGCTTCTATTATAACTGATTTACTTTCAGTATTATGGAGAATTACAACGAATGCCGTCAAAATGATGATTCCACAATGATTCCGATTTCTTTTTCTTTGTGCATAAATTAACCACAACAGTGTAAGCAGTGTGAGTAATATGTGTTTCGTCTTACCCGTCGTTGTTGTTGGAGTTGTTTACGTTGTGTACGGCCAGATTCGAATGAGCGCTGACATGAGAACAAATAAAGGCAGGAATTTGATTAAAAAAATAGTACAATGTCCCCAACAATCGCTTTTCCTATGTTCATTCTTCGGGTATGGCATAAACATCCAAAATAAATGTCATTACTCAGGCTTGGTTTAGATGGTTAACGTGGTTAGGACAAATTAGGACAAACTTTAAGGTGGATTGTGATAAGATGGGACTGGTCTATAGATTATGGTCACTCTCGGTTTTTCAAATCATAAATAACACTTACAAGAACAAGGCATTTTTTCCTATTATGTTTGAAAATATCCTTTTTGGGGATGCATAGTGGTTACACTGTAATCTGATAGGGCAATCTCACAGGGGTTTTCATTTTGTAATTTGGTTTTCTATGGACTTTTTAAGTCGTCTATGTATCTTCAATCAGTGTTGTTCAAATTATTTTAATGAATGAGACGTAGCCTTAAGTGTACTCACCTTTTTCTGCTCCCCGTGTTGTTGTCTTCCCCATGGCGGCTTTGGCCGGACTCTCGGGGGCCAACACTGCTCCTCCCAAAGTGCATCATGAGTGACAGCCTTATAACAAGAGATCAAAGTAAGGAACTGGTTCAGAAACTATAAATAATAATCAAAAATCATCCCATAACCATACATCGGTGAGTGAATTATGCTCTGTCTCACACCAGTTCCCACGCTAGTGTCTAAACAAACGCACGATATTTCAGGGTAACCCACCTGGATAGGAGTCCCGGGCCCATAAAAGAGGGATGATCCTGGGCGTCCATCACCCTGGAAACAGGGAGCGAGGCGTTTTGACCCTGTTATCGTCAGAGTGACTTTGCAAAACGCGGCGACAGTGACATTTTCACTAAACTCTAACTCTCAGTAAGGCTATACAATGAATGGAAGATTGTTAAAATGATCTGTCTGCTAGTTATTTTGTGAAAACAACAGAATGGAGAGCTTTAGTGTTATTGGACAATTCCCATACGGGGAATCCTAAATACTGAAACCATTTGTGAAGCCAAAGCCCTGGAATTAATAAAACAACAATCATAAATATAGCTTTATAGAAAGGTCTATATGGAATGTATCGCGCCATAACACTTTTTTCTGCTGTTTTTCGATCAGATACTCCATATTTTTCATTCAATATTAGCTCACACTCAGCACACGCTTGGCACAAAGAACATCGGGACTGAATGAAGTAAAAAGAAACACACTATATATAGTTATTAGAAATTAGAGGCTTGATTAGGCACAGTTTACATGATAAAGAATAGAGTGATGGCAGAAAAACTGAAATATGTGGGTCCTCAAACACACAAAACCAGACCCGATTCATGCTGTCAGTTAAAAAAAATAATAAAAAATAATATTTAGTTAAAATTCAAATCACCCTGCTCAGTAGGATTTGTATTAAAGTCTGTACTTACAATGTTTGTACTGAAAAAATGATAAACTCCACACTCTTTCTGAGGATTCACACAGAATTTTAGTCACATTTAAATGACACATTGAAAAACCTTGTGCACGGCTCATTAAGATTCTTCAGTATGTTTAACTCAAATCCTCCTCTACCCGATTACGTCAGCTAAAATTAGCCTTTAAACCCAACGTGACTTGCTAAAGTTCACGACACAGGAATAGTTTTTTCTCTGTAATTACACTATCGTGCAAGTAACAAGTCACCGAATTTACAAGTCAACTGAAATTTACCTGATTATGACTGATGATGATGATGATGATGAGCAGCTGTCAATACAGAGAAGTCAGAGTGAGCTAAAAAAAACAAATCCCATTCTCCCCCTCCTTCTTTTCTTCGTCGGGCCTCTTTTTCTCCTCAAACCAAAGCCCCAAAAACACAGAAATAACCCCCACGACAGAGCCGAGCAAAACAACACTCAGGCTTTTATTATGTCAGAGCAAATCTCAGCTGTGGGGGAGTTACTTCTGCTCATCCACACACACACACACACACACACCCTCCCCCAGAGCAGAGCAGGTGATGAAGGGGAGGGGCATGTCAAATAAAAAAAGACAGACAGGTGACGTCAAGTCAAGCTGCCCAAGTGGAGTCATTCCATTTTTTTTTAGCATAAGTTTTGCCAACTTGCCCGTATTGATTTGACGAAAACACCAAATCATTTTTGTGGATGTTAAAAATGATAGTCCATATCTTAATATATTTACTTTGTTGTTAGGGTTGCTGACCACTCAAAATCCACAATCCACAATCCACAATCGTATATCAAAGACACTCCATCACGTGGTTCGTCGTTTTGATTGGTAAATGAATCAGAACAAATTCAAGTAAACAAGTAAACAAGTAAACAAGTAAACAAGTAAACAAGTAA